ACTATGCTGTACATCAGAAACAAACACAACATTGTAAATCAACTATACTACAGTTAAAAAAAAAAAGAGGGGGGACCACGCAGGGGACCTATTCTAAATCTGCATTGTAGATTTCTCCTAAACCCCATGTCAGGCCCAGAGCAAGCTCAGGAAGTAAGTCGAGGCAGCGTCTGGAGCCTTGTAGAGGTCAGAGGAGGACACACGGGTGAGACTAACGTTCCGCTTTCCCTTGTGGACTTTTGACGGGCTAGTCTGTCTGGGAAAGTTTGTATGAAGGCCAAGTCCATGGCTAATCTAGGAGCGCTCCTTGTTCCAGGACTGTCATTCCTGCCCCTTTTCTTGGGCAGTAAATAACTTCTGGCTTTGACAAACAAGCCCTGGTGACACATTGGTGGTGGCGGTGGGTGCAGCAGAGTCTGGATGTCTCTGGGCAGAGCTTGGTGCTCTAAGCTTGGCCTGACCCTCTTGACTGGGATATCTTCATTGCAAAGGATGGTCGTGACCGCGGCCCTGAGAGTGACCAAGGCTAGGGTCCTATGTCTTACAGTGAATTCCGCGGTGCTCCCCGGAGGCCCGGATACAGGGGACACGCAGCCTCGCAGCTGCTGGGAATATCGATGCTAATGACTCTGGGACCCCAGAAGGAATTGCATGGCCCAAGGTTATCCCCACTTTCAGGAGGTACCTGATGCTGGGAGAGCCGTCCCATCCTTTCCACGAGCTGGGATACACTGGCTTTGGAGCTTCTTAAATTATCAAGGGAGGACGCAGTCTCACCTGCCGTGTGGGTCAGCTTCTCTGCCATCCTCACGGCCCCTGGGGGACTTCCTGAGCTCGCTCCCAATAAACCCGCTGTGTGCAAGTCTCCCTCACAGGGCATCCGAGCGAGGTGACCTTCTCTTCCTTCAGACGTCGGCTTTAAGGTACGTGGTATTAACATTACCCCAGAAAAATGACTTGCTTAGTAGTTACAAGGAAGACTTTAGTCTCTGTCATTCATTTCCCCTTCTGGTGGCTTTGGCCTTTCTAAGGAGGCCTGGGGAGGACCAGGGGACCACCAGTGACAAAGCTCTAGTGACTCTAGAAAGCGGCACCGGGAGTGCCTTAGGAGACAGATTGAAAAGGAATTCTGAATCCCACAGACTCGCTAAGGCGAGTTGCTGGAAGACGATGGGTGTGAGATTAGCAGAGACAATGAAGGAAAGTTGGAAAAGTGACAGGGAAGAGGAGGCGGAGAACTTTCTTCGGAGATGAGAGATTCCTGTTTAATTTCCTGGATGAGTTACTTCTAATGGTTAAAAAAAAATCCACATCTGTTAATTTACTGCAAGAGCCTTTGTAATTTGAGAGCCTTCCAGGGAAGGGGAGGATGGCTATAGATTTATGCAGTTAACTCTCAAGATGTGAACATGCAACCGGAGGCCCCACCTGTGTGTACAATGTACTTAAAGGATTAGAGCAAACTTTGAAATTATGATATGTTTTACCTTGAGGAAGAACCTGACTCTTAAAGCTTCTGTTTCCTTGAAGGAGGAGGGAAGAAAACCATCAGTTCTCTAAGGTGATCGGGTACGTGAGACACTCTGCTTGTGGGATTTAATGAAGGTTTAAGTGCAGGTAGATGAAGGATGTGTTATTTATATATTTTATTTTAAACCTATTTTCAATACTTGTGATTCCAATTCAAAGGTGTTGCGTGTTGGAGGTCCACGTGCCCTGACTGAAGGTGACATTTTCAGGGAGATGTAGGTGCCAGGGGACCAGGGCAGCAGCTGTAGTGTGAGGGGCTGGAGGGAGTAGAAAGGGGAATTTTCAAAGAAGTGTTGCTGTGGTCTCCGTGGTCCCTCCAGGGTCTTCAAGAAATCTAAGTATATACCTGACTCTCTACATAAACCAAAGGTATCCTTGGGCTGAAGCAGGTGATTATTAAACCAAGACGGAAATTTCTTTTCCCTTCGTGTGATTAACCAGGAACAGAGACCAGCGCATTTACAAAAGAATGACCATCACCTCCTACGGACTAAGCTACTGCTTTTGATTATTTGGTCTCCATAGATTTGTCAGGTGGGCTGGGAGAACACGGTAGCCAGAAACACGTAAGCTCAGCAGCATGCAGTCTTTAGGGAGCAGAAAATCACACACAGTTATGTCTAACAAAGACAAAGTACTTTATTTGAAAAACACTCAGATGTTGCAAAAAATACGTAGAAAAATAAGGTTTGGTTGGGGGACTTAACTTCAACTCACAGGCTTGTGTGTTACAGATCGGAGCGGGAGTGATGCCCGTGGAGAACCTGACTGAATTTATTCAACAGGACAGAAACAGGCTGTCTAGGTGAAGTGGTCCGGGGCACCCTCCAGTGTACCTATAGGATACGGATACACTAACTCTTCAAATATCCTTCTGCCAGCGTGGGTAGGCATGAGTGACTAGTTCCAATGGGGGAAAAGCAAGATGGATTCGCCACACCAAATGATTTTAAACAAAGTCTTATTCTTTTCTTTTTGCAACACAACGTACATCGCGGTAAAATGTTTAATCCTTGCAGATTTAGGGGGTGAAAGAATTCAATGCGGAGGGTGGCAGAGGAAGGATACCGACTGGAGAGCAAGCACTGAATGCTTATCTTAAAAGGCCTGTGAGAAGAAAAAAGCAATTGAGGTGGTCCCACCTTCTGTGCTCCCTCTTCTGGGTGGGCAACATGCGGCATTCGACAATATTTCAACGTGAAGCTGGAACGATAGAAAAGCGGGGTGAAACCAGCCAGCTTTCTATCAACTTTGGCAATTTTGCCACCAGCAGTAAATTGGATCTTTTTAACAGGAGGAAATTGAAAGGTTTCTCACTGAACAGAATTAAGTAGTGGGATCAAGAGATTTCCACGCCTCGGGGTACCTCGTTAGTAACTGGCTTTTTTCATTCTGTAGTTTCCCCTCTACCGGGTCACCTGAGATCACATGATGAAAACAGAAGGGTGGCCAGATTTTCTCCTGTGCCCTCTTCTCATTCTCTCTGAAGTTGTCAGGTGACTCCTGAGAGGTGGGGGAACCCACATTTTTTTTTTAATAGGCATTAAACACAGTTCTTGAAGCATTTGGATAGTTTCATTGTTAAGCAATGGAAGCCATAATAATGTGTTTTGAAAACTGTTTCCTTTTTCTTAGCCTCTTCCTGCAAAGTGCCACCAGTTAGTCGCTCAGAGGCCTGGACTTTCTAAGGCGCAGGCCCCCTTTCTCCACGCCCCGCCCACGAGCCCTTGATTTCCACTAGACCATTCAACAGTGCGTGGCCCTTCCTTCCACACTGTGTTCTTCCTTGTGTGTGAAACCCTCACCCCTCTTACCGCCTCTGCCTGCCTGGATCCGAAAGGGTTCTCAGACTTTGAACTGTAACAACAGAGCCACGAGAGAGTCCTATAAAAGCAGCAGTGACCTTCTAGAGCTGTCAAGTCTTTAAATAGGATTTGGGATTTAATGCCATGTATTTTTAAAGGAAAGAAATAAGAATTACTTGTTTTAAAAAAAAAAAAACAAAACACGTCTTTTGGCCAATGCAGAATCCACTCCCCCAATGCCACTTTTTTTTTAAACCCAGGAGAGAGAAAGCTTTGGAGGAAAAAAAAGCAAAAAAGCAAAAAAGCCCAGATCTCAGACTAAATAAGGAAGGCGTCATATGTTAGGTGCAGCCAGACAAAAAGTCTGGACTGAAACAAAGCCCTTCCGTGGGTGATT